GTGGCAGGTGTGTGGGATGTGTGTGGATATGACGTGTGTGATGTGTGTATGGGATGTGTGTGGCAGGTGTGTGGGATGTGTGGGAGCGTGTTTGTGACGTGTGTAGGGGGTGGGATGTGTGTGTGTGGGATGTGTGTGGGGGATGTGTGTGGATATGACGTGTGTGATGTGTGTATGGGATGTGGGGGATGTGTTTTTGTGACGTGTGTATGGGATGTGTGTGTCTGTGTGGGACGTGTGTTTGCGGGATGTGTGTGGGGGGTGGAATGTGTGTGTCTGTGGGATGTTTGTGTGTGAGACGTGTTTTTGTACGTGTGTATGGGATGTGTGTGTGGTGTGTGTGTGACATGTGTCTGTGGGACGTGTGTTTGTGTGATGTGTGTGTGGGTGAGTGACGTGTGTGGGATGTGTGTGTCGGTTGTGTCTGTGTGTGACGTGGGGGGGAATGTGTGTGTGTGGGATGTGCGGGGGTGTGGGATGTGTGTAGATATGAGGTGTGTGGGACGTGTGTGTGTGGGATGTGTGATGTGTTTGTGACGGGGTGGTGGGATGTATGTATGGAATGTGTGGCGTGTGTGTGATGTATGTATGGGATGTGTGTGGATATGATGTGTGTGAGACGTGTGCGTGTGATGCGTGTATGGGATGTGTGGGCTGTGTGTGACGGGTGTATGGGGTGTGTGGGACGTGTTTCTGATGTGCGTGTGCCGTGTGTGTGTGGGATGCGTGTATGGGCTGTGTGGGGTGTGTATGGGGGGCAGTGTATGTGTGGGGTTGGATGTGTGGGGGGATGTGCATGTCTGTGTGTGTGGGATGGGGGTGTGAGGGATGGGGGGGTGTGTGGGATGTGTCTGCGAGCACACACACGTTAACAATATGCTGAGCACGCACCCAGAACATGCTTAAACACACAAACACACTAAGAACATGCTGGAAAAGTGAAGCATATGCACACACCAAGAACATGATCAAAAACCTGCTAAAAATGAACGGTCCAGGGACACAAACATGCTGCAATCACGCTAGCACCATGCTAAGAACATGTGAAATTCATGCTTAGAAAAAGTGAAACTAGGGTTTTCAGCATGCTGGTCTTGGCGTGATTTTAGCATGTTATTTAGAACATGCTAATGTCATGCTAAGAACACGCAAAAATCATGCCAGGAACATTTGAAAATCATGCAAAAAATATGAATTTCACTTTTTGTAAGCGCGATTTCTCTCATATACTTAGCATGACACTAGCATGTTTAAAATAACATACTAAGAACATGCTAACATCATGCTAATCTCATGCTAAGAATATGCTAATATCATGCTAGGAACATGCTAATGTCATGCTAAGAGAATGTGAAAACCATGCAAAAAATAATAATTTTCCATTTCGTAAGCATGATTTTCACATGTTCTTAGCACGACGTTAGCATGTTCTTTGTCATGCTAAGAACATGCTAACGCCATGCTAAGAACATGCTAACATCATGCAAAGAACATGCTAACATCATGCAAAGAACATGCTAACGTCGTGCTAAGAACATGTGAAAATCATGCGAAAAATAGTGACAACGCAACGACACACAACGACACGCTAAGAACACGCATCAAAATGATAAGAACACACAAAAAACACGCAACGACACGCTACAACACACTAAGAACACACTGAAACCATGCAACACGCTAAGAACATGCAACAGCATGCTACAACATG